TCAAATTCATTTGCACACATAAGAGGCGACTATCATAAATCCCATTGCAGGTGTGTGTGTGTGTGTGTGTGTGTGTGTGTGTGTGTGTGCGCAACCCTGTTTCCAAAAAAATTGCGACACTGAGTAAAATGTAAACGAAAACAGAATGCAATGATTTGCAAATCATTTCATTCTATATTTCAATCATTTAAACTCTATATTTAGTTAAAAATAGTACAAAGACAACACATCTGATGTTGAGACATTACTTTCATTGCTTTTTGAAAGACATTAGCTCATTCATTTTGAATTTCATGCCTGTAACATGTTTCAAAACAGAAGGAACAAGGGCATGTTTATGATTGTGTTGCATCACCTCTCCTTTTAACAACTCTCTGTAAGCGTTCGGGAACAGAGGAAACCAGCTGCTGTAGTTTTGAAAGAAACATGTTTTCCCACTCTTGCTTGATGTGGGATTTCAGCTGCTCAACATTTTGCAACCTTGTTTGTCATACTTTTCTTTTCATAATGCATCAAATATTTTCAGGGGGTGACAGGTCTGGACTGAAGGCAGACCAGTTTAGCACCCAGAATCTTTTACTACGAGCAATGTTGTAATAAGGACAGAATGTGATGTTTGCCATTGTCTTGCTGAAATAAGCAAGGCTTTCCCTGAAAATGATGTCTGGATGGCAGTATATGTTGCTCCTAAACCTGTACATGTCATTAAGCATTGATGGTGTCCTCAAAAATATACAGCTTACCAATGCCATGTGTCTTAATGCACTCCGTACCATCATAGATGCTGCCTCAGGAACTGTGCACTCACAAGACCAATGGCCCCTCTCCTCTTCAGCATGGAGGATGCAGTGTCCATGATTTCCAAAAAAGAGTTTCACAATTTGACAGGCCAAACCGTAGGACAGTTTTCCACTTCATCTCAGTCAATCTTAAACAAGCTCAGGCCCAGAGAAGGCCACAGCATATCTGGATCTTGTCTGTATAATTTGGTTTATTTTTACATGGTTGAGTTTCAACTTGCATTGGCGAATGCAACGATGAACTGTGTTGACAGAAGTGTTCCTGAACCCAAGTAGTAACTTCCACTTCCAAAGTGTCTTCCACTTGTATATATACACATATAACTTTTTATTTAGACAAAGGGGTGAGAGCTAATGAGCTATGCTTCTTCTCACTCCTTTTCAAATATGTCATTTATTTTCTGGTTTTTTGTGTTTTATTATTATTTTGCTTCCTCCATTTTCATTTCTATATTATGTTGTGCAAAGAATTTGTTTAGTAGCAATCAGGAAGCCTTGTACTATTTGCATATTCGGAATAAATATTAAAAAAAAAAAAGTCTGTTTTTGAAAGCAGCGCCAACTTGGGGCCTTAACCCCTTTGCACAGATACAGGCATCCGTAAATTCCGAAATTTAATTCCTTAACAATTCTGTAACTGAATTTCCTAATGTATTGCTTAACTGGAATAATTTTCCACAGTCTCTGTGACACAAATAATGAGTTATAAAACCTAAATAGGCTCCTGCATAACAGGAAAAATTTGGCATTATTTGTATTCTGCGCTAAGGGGTTAAGATTGTGATCATTCAACGCTGGTTTTCGGCCTTGTCCCTTGGGTGCGGAGCTTTCTCCGGATTCTCCGAATTATTAAAAGACATTATGTAACATAGATGATGAAATCCCCAAATTCTTTGCAATTTTACGTGGGGAAACGTTATTCTCAAATTGTTGAACTATTTGCCCACGCAGCCTGTCACAGAGCAGTGAACCTTTTCTCATCTTTACCTCTGAATGACTCTGCCTCTCTGGGATGCTCATTTTTGCTCAATCATGTTACTGACCTGCTGTCAATTAACCCAATTAGCCGAGAGATGTTTGCCTGGCGTATTTTTTTAACCATCATACAACTTTACCTTTTTGTTGTCTTTTGTTGCCCCTGACCCAACCTTTTTAAACACGTTGCATTTGAGCAGATATTTTTCAAAAACAGTAAAAATTTCTCTGTTTCAACATCCGGTATTTCATCTTTGTGCCATTTTCAATTAAATATAAAGTTTAAATGATTTTCATTGATTCACAAATCATTGTATTCTGTTTTTACGTATATTTCACACGGTGCACCAACTTCTTTGGAAATGGGGTTGTACGTGTGTGTGCGCGTGTATTTGTGAGTTTGTGTGTGTGTGTCCATGTATTAGTGCGCATCTGTGTGACTGTATGAGTATGTGTCTGTGTGCGTGTGTGCAGGTGCACATCAGCTCAAGGGGCAGTTTGAGCGTGTGCACATGTGCTTGCATGTGTGTGTGTGTGTGTGTGTGTGTGTGTGCATTCAGAGTGAGTCAGTCCCCAAGCTAAAGATCACAGATTCCATTAACAGGAAGAAAAAACATGGAGCACATCTCCACTGACATCACACCCTCCTCTATGTGCTAAAGCACCTTCATGAGAGATCGGGACAGGACTGAGCAGGATGGCACACACATCACCACAGGCGAGCTAGAGACCAAAAGTTCTTGCGCTAGGTCTCACAAAGGAACGACGCCTCAGTTTTGAATGACCGCAGCTTCTTGCACGTCATTCAGCATGGCTGCCAACAAGGCTTTACATCAAATTCTAGTGAATGAGCAGTGCGAAAGTGTGGATACCGATGTTGTGAATGTTGGACGCCATCTTGAAAAGCTAGGCGAGACTGCTCACAGATGTTCTCGCTTGTCTATGCTAGACCAAATGTAGTTTAATATTTCAAGAGGCAAGAACTTACGGGCTCTCGCGAGAATCCATGATCTTGAGCGAGCCTCTGCCATTTCTGAGCTCCAACCTGAACAAAGAACTAAGCCTAACCTGAGCCAATCTTTAGCCAATTTAGCACAGGGCAGCATGAGAGCCATCACTTCTGCTCCTCATGACCCCACACCTCGCCCATACCCTGCTGGCCTAGAGTCAGAGAGGGGGATCAGGCGTCTTGTGTTTTGCCATTATACAAGAAGGCACAGTCCTTGCAGGCAGGGAGCGCGGCTGTACATCACTTGCGAGCAGCTTCATGAAATGGGCAAGAATGCAATCACCACAGACAGGAAGTGCTCGCTACTGACAGGAAGTACTGGTCACAAACAGGATGAAGCACGTGCTACAAACAGGAAGTATTCATTACAAACGGAAAGGAATAATAACCACCACTTTCGAGAAAGCTGTCCAAATTACCGCTGTTTCTGTGCGTTCCTTCTGTTATTTGCACCTAGAAACACCTCAGCTGTCCTTCTCTGGCAGAGCAATATTTCTTAGTGTCTGGCTGGAGCCACCGGGTGGCACTAGAGTACAGAAAACAAATTCCTTCAAAGCTAATTTTCAACTGTGCGGATTACAGTGGAAGGCCTGTGGCTCTTAGAACCTGCAAATTACAGATATACAGATCTGCAGGGACGAATTCGACAGTCCAAACTGGACATCACCATAGCGACATAGGCCATTCCCTTCCACTTGCAGAGTTGGGAGGAGTTATGCATAGCAGGCTGTGATTGGCTGGTTGTGGGTGGGTCAGTGTGGCGGTGTGCAGTAAAGAGAAGGGGAAAAGCGGGGTTTGCTAAGGAAAAGAGGGGAAGTAGCACAGCAGTCACGAACTTTGACCTCAAGCTTTCTTGGGGGGAGGGGCCAGTTTGATAATGTCCTCATCGGAGGGCTGACGAATTATATCTGCAGAGAGAGGGAGAGAGAGAGAGAGGTATATGAGTGAAGGAGAGAGGGGTGAAGAGAGATAGAGGCTGGGGAGAGGACAGGAGACAGGACAGAAAAAATGGGATAGAGGGAGGGGAAATGATGCAAAAAAAGGGAGAGAGAGAGGGAGGGAGGGAGGGAGGACGATGAGGGAGAGAGAGGGAGCGATAGAGAGAGGTGGGAATAACAGAGAACCAGAAATAGGGGAAGCAGTTTTGTCATTTATTCCACCTTTGATGCCAGTAATAAATGAATTGCCACGAGGGAAAATTAATTTTTTACTGGTAAAAAAAATTTTTACTTGCAACAATAAGAATTCAAGATATCTGTAATTCAATTGTAACAAGAATAAAATAATTTTTTGCTAATAATTATTTATTTACAGATATCTTGAATATCAACTTGTCATTGACAGGCATTAAATTTCATTCTCTTATCTACAATTCCATAGATACCCGTAAAAATTCATTTACAGATATCTAAATCAAAAATTTTACAGATTTTAATTTCATGTTTCTGTGAAGCAACAAGTGGTATCCTGGTTGCCCATTTCTACATTTCAAATTTTTCCTTGTGGGAATTCAATTTTATCTAGTTTAAAATAATTTTTCAGAGTCAGAATAAGAAATAATACATCTGTAATTAAGTTGTTACTAGTAAAAGATAATTTGTTGATACTGGTAATTTACATATCTTGAAATGCGTATCATACGTATCAAAAAAATCATTTTTTACCAGTACAAAATTAATTTTCACTGTAAGCAACTGAATTACAGATATCTCCCAGATTTTCTACATTTAAAATAGATTTCGTACAAGCAAAATTCAAATTGCGGACATCTGTAACTGAATAACTATGAGTAAAAATTGAATTGTGGATAAATGAAAGAAAAATTAAATTTGAGTCAATGGCAAATTATGACTGGTTGAAATTCAATTCAAAAGAGCCCAGTCTCATCCCAACGCGTCATATAGTGACGCTATCTGACCAAGTGTCAATATACAATGCAACAGGAGGCTTTGGGCGGCCTTATTTGACAACAGCTTAAAACTAACCCTACCCCGTGAACCCCTAACCCTTAGCCCGAATCCGAACCCTGAGCATCAAATAAGGACGACAAAAGCCTCCCTTGTCTTTGTATACTGACACTTGGTCAGGTAGCATCACTATATGATAAATCAGAATGAGATTGTATTGTTCAAAACATCAGTAACTCAGTTGTAACAATTAATTCACGACTGATGTCAATAGTGGAATAAGAGACTAAATGACTGCCTATACATTGTGGGGCGGCATGGCTCAGAAGGGAGAGCAGGCAGGCTAGGAATCAGAAGGTTCCCGGTTCGATCCCTAGCTGCTCCAGAGAACATGTCAAAGTATCCTTAAGCAAGACACTGAACCCCGCACTGCTCCTGATGTGCAGGGTGGCGCCTTGCATGGCAGCCTCCGCCATCAGGGTGAATGTGAGGCATAAATGTAAAGCGCTTTGGGGTCATGTCATGTGACTAGAAAACGCTATATAAATGCAGTCCATTTACCATTTACATGGAGAGTAAGAGACAGAAAACGTGTGTTCTCTGCCATTTTTTGTTCCTTCTATTTATTTAATGTACAGTACCAGTCAAAAGTTTGGAAACACCCACATTTTTCTTACAATATATGTTAAATAAAAAAATAAGCAGCCTTTATTTTGCAAAAATAAGATCTAATTCTTAAATCCATCAAAATAATCACCATTTGTTGTCATATTTGCAGAGCATTCTCACATTTTTTTGTAACAAGGGCAGTCGTATGACTGTAATGAATTTGCAGTGGCACGGCTGTCCAACTTCCCAAAGACGTGCTGCACTTGAGGTGGCTTTTCATCAAGCTTTTCGCCCAATAAGTCCCAAAACCGCTTGACTTTAATTCGGCTGTTGGAAAATAGAAGGAGTTTATTTGTCTGTTTACTTCGCAAAATATGGCTTCTTTGAGAATTCCAAAATTTTGGACACTATTCAAACAAGTAAATTATTCTCTTTTCACTTCTGTTAACCTTTTACAAGATTCTATTTGAGATTATATAGAGAAGTTAAGCCGTTTAAATTTCTCTAAAAACAGAGTGCTGTGACATTAGCAAAGTGTTTCCAAACTTTTGACAGGTACTGTATTTATGTATTCATTTTATTTTATGAATTGTACTTGCACAAATATGTACTTACACATATATATTTTTCTTTTATATACTCAAAGGCAATGAAAACGCAACACTCTAAATTTTGGTTTATTTTTGCTCAGGACCTGAGTGTCCAATTTGAGTTCTTAAGTGACCATTGGGGTCACAATGTGTACCTCGTTACACATGAATGATCATCATGTAACTCAACAGTGTGAGTTGGACTCTAATCAATCCATACTGAGTACAACATATGGGATTAGGAGTTGTGCAAGTACAGTGGTTGAAATGAAGGAGGGGTTGTCTCCCTATATAAAGGCATGATAAAAGCTACACAAAAAACATTTTTAAGTGTCATAATGCCACGTCTGTCGTCTGAACAACGGAACAAGGGCCCTGGGTATGCTAGAGGCGGGAGTAAGTGCCCGGCAAGTGGCTCACCGTTTTGGGTGTAGTACGTCCAGCATCAGTACGTTTTGGGTGTAGTATGTCCAACTGGGACGAGCTCTTTCATCAAGAGTACCCAGACCTCAAACCAGGCAGCAACTCCAGAATGCACTACAGGCAGAGTGGCGACAACTTCCCCAAGACAACCTAAGATGCTTAGTCAGGTCCATGAGGAGATGTTGCACTGCCTGTGAGGATGTTCATGGGGGTCACACCCGATACGGACTGTTCTTCTGAGTTCATTTTTAAATGTGTGTTCCGTTCAGTCTTGTTGTGATTTTTCATTTTCAGCTTGTGCTCGTTATGTTTAATGCATCTGTTTATTATTGTCCAAATCGGCCCATTAACACATTTAATTCATCAAAGTCAACACATCCAACATATTTGAATTGTTAAAGTAAGAAATAAATTTGAGTCACAAAATACTTTGAATCCAAACTGGTGTTGCGTTTTTATTTCCTCTGAGCATATATTATTTTTCAAATTATATCATAACTGTATTCTCCTTGTAGCTTTGGCAATATTGCCCACAGGACATTCATTCCAATAAAGCAACATGAATTGAATTGGACCGACCTGATATATAATAAGGCACATCGCAAGGCGTATATGATCGTTAATAATGATGGATCAAAGGTCAAAATGTAGACGAGTGAACTTCCGTCCATACCCGCGCGCAGTCGAACGCTAGCTAATATAATTGCCATTTATAACGTTTAGTTCCAAGACGTGGACTCCGGCTTCGACTTGAGTTTAGCGTATATTTGAATTTTATTTTTCATGTTCACATCTGTGTATCCACGATAGTTTTCTACTGCGAAGTTGCGCAATGCTCATCGCATTCCAACATGCATGCATTGGCTTGGCGAAGCTGGCCTTATTACCGGAAGTGTGGACGTCTACAAGAAATCCCATTAATTCATTTCGTCTCCCGATTTACGACAGTTTCGCGCTATATCAGGTTGCTCCAATTGAATTTAATTGAAAGAGAAAGAGAGAGAGAGAGAGAGAGAGAGAGAGAGAGAGAGAGAGAGAGAGAGAGAGAGAGAGAGAGAGAGAGAGAGAGAGAGAGAGAGAGAGAGAGAGAGAGAGAACTGAGATAAAGATGGGAGACAGAGTAGCTGACCTTTGTACTTCTTAGCAGACGGGATGCGTGTGAGTTTGGTGTCAATCTCCTCGTCATCGGAGATCTTCAGCACGGTGGTGCGGTACTCGATGACCCGGGTCAGGAGGTCTGGCCGCCGCGAGATCTCGAAGATGTGCTCGATGTAGGACAGATCATCTGTGCGGAGGCAGGATACGGGAAACGCTGGAGTTAAACATGCTCTGTCTTCTCTCTCACTCCTCCCTCCAAACAGCTTTTTTCTGCCCATCACTACATCCCTCCTTCTCTCTCCCCCTCTCTCTCTATCCTCCCTCTTCAATGTATTCCCCCCATTCAATCACTTCTCCTCCCCAGCTGACACTGAATGATAATTTTCCTTGATTGACAACATGCTATATTCAGAAAACATACTAAATCCTGACCAGTGTAGCCAGTTGTGCTCAAATACTGTAGTTCAGGTGAGAAATAAGACTCTTGGTGCGCACCCAAACTCAGCACATTTCTCTCAATGTTCCTCAACTCTGCAGATACATGCAGCCATTCTTTGCTTTCTTTATCTAAATGTACACAACCATAAAGTGCAGGTTGAATGGCCAGCATAGCGGAACCTGCCGAAAGCTAACTCGGCGTAATTGCTCATCATTTTCATTCATAGCTTCTCATGAATGTGACATTTTTCTGAGTTTAATTTATTGTTTAATCTCCCAAATGATTGGTTATTCTAATTACTGGAAATCATGTTAAAGTGGCAATACAGAACTTTTCTGCTTTCAAAGGCTATTATTGTTTTCATCACTGCTGCAAAGACAATGGGATCGCTTGCCATTTTGCTTAGAGCCTAGCGCCTAGCGCAATTTGTAAATAAAACCCCAATTCCGAAATAGTTGGGACGAAGTGTAAATTGTGAATAAAATCAAAATGCAATGACTTTCAGATCACATGAGCCAATATGTTATTTACAATAGAACATAGATAACATTTCAAGTGTTGAAACTGAGACATTTTACATTTTTATCCACAAAATGAGCTTACTTCAAATTTCCTGGCTGCAACAGGTCTCAAAAAAGTTGGGACACAGGCAAAAAAAAGGCTGAAAAAGCAAATAATATATAAGAGAATCAGCTGAAAGAACATTTAGCAAGTAATTAAGTTACCTGGCATCAGGTGTGTAACATGATTGGCTATGAAAGGGATGTCTTAGAGAGGCTGAGTCTGAGAGATGGCCAGAGGTTCTCCAACCAGTGAAGGCTTGCATAAAAAAAATTGTGGAAAACTTTAAAAACAATGTTACACAACGTCAAATTGCAAAGGCTTTGAAGGTCTCATCATCGACAGTGCACAACATTATCAAAAGATTCAGAGAAACTGGAAAAATCTCTGTGCGTAAGGGACAAGGCCGAAGACCTTTACTGGATGCCTGTGATCTTCGGGCCCTCAGACGCCACTGCATCACTCACCAGCATGATTCTGTCATTGACATTACCAAATGGGCCCAGGAATACTTCAAGAAACCGCTGTCTGTAAACACAGTCCGCCGTGCCATCCGCAGATGCCACCTAAAACTGTATCATGCAAAAAGGAAGCCATTGTTGAGCATGATCCAGAAGCGCCGCCGTGTTCTGTGGGCCAAGGCTCATTTAAAATGGACTGTAGCAAAGTGGCAAAGTGTCCTGTGGTCAGACGAGTCCAAATTTGACATTCTTATTGGAAATCATGGGAGTCGTTTCCTCCGGGCTAAAGAGGACAAAGACCACCCCTCCTGTTATCAGCGTTCAGTTCAAAAGCCAGCATCTCTGATGGTATGGGGATGCATTAGTGAATATGGTGTGGGACACTTGCATGTTTTAAAAAGCACCATTAATGCTGAAAGGTATATAAAGGTTTTAGAGCAACATATGCTCCTCTCCAGACGACATCTATTCCAGGGAGGGCCTTGTGTATTTCAGCAGGATAATGCAAAACCACATACTGCAGCTATTACAACAGCATGGCTTCGTAGTAGAAGAGTCCGTGTGCTGAACTGAACTGCCTGCAGTCCTGATCTTTCACCGATTGAGAACATTTGGCGCATAATTAAACGAAAAGTCCGTCAAAGGAGAACCAAAACTCTCAAGCAGCTGGAAGCCTGTATTAAACAAGAGTGGAATCAAATTCCAGTGGCTAAACTCAAGAAACTTGTCTCCTCAATGCCCAGACGCCTCCACTCCGTGTTAAAAAGAAGAGGGGATGCTACACCATGGTAATCAGGCCCCTGTCCCAACTTTTTTGAGACCTGTAGCAGCCATCAAAGTTGAAATGAGCTCATTTTGTGGATAAAATTGTAAAATTTCTCAGTTTCAACATTTGCTATGTTATCTATGTTCTATTGTGAATAAAATACTGGCTGGTGTGATTTGAAAGTCATTGCGTTTTGATTTTATTCACAATTTACACTTTGTCCCAACTATTTCAGAATTGGGGTTGTAAGAGAGAGATAGCATTTTCACTCAATAGGTGAACTGAAATCTCCACAATTTTACACTGAATTGGCAAAAGCTACAGTAATGATGACCACTGCTTAGAAATAACATTTTGAGTTAAGTTGGCCCTTCACACAAACAAGTAACAACAGCAGGGGCTGGCGTCACAGTGGAAGTCGGAGTAATTTCAGAACAA